GTAACTATATTGAAGGGTAACTTAAAATGTTTCAACTGCAGACAGTCATTCAATTTTCCTAGTGACAAATTGACACATAAGAGATCAAAATAATACTATTCTAGCATGTTTGTGTAGATGAACAAAAAAGTTGAATTTAATACTTAACTTTGGCGAAGATATTTAGTTAGAATATTTTCTTCTTTTACTGGCATCTACTTCCAAAAAAATCTAGCTCTGAAATACAAGAAAATTACAAGAAATATTATGCAAGTGAAATGTTTATGCACATTTTTCTTTTGCAATATTTCTATTTGCTTATTGTTTCAACATTTGGATTTAACTACTTGATTCTTACTACATACCAGTCAGTCAATAAATACAGAATATAAGCATATTAAAATGGAGAGAGGTATAGACAGCATTTTCCTATTAAGCATTGTCAACAAAATCCTTGAAAATTAATTGAACTGACAACTACAGTTGGAGCAGATGCGTGAAGTACTGTTATAGCACATTGCACCATCAATTATATGTCAAGCATGCTGCCAAATATTAAGCGTTCTGACCTTTGTTATTAATAATAGAGGCAGACACTGGGGACGTGAAAGACAAATAATGCATGGAAAATCTATTACAGATTTGATTTTTTTTTTAATGGATATAGAGCCTATTTAATATTCTGTCTCTCTACTTGCAAGCTATGAAAAACTGGACATACCATGTGATGGAAAGCCGCATTGTGAAAATCGGAACATTTTATTCTATCAAAGCATAAGTTAATAATACTGAGAGGGTGCTTGTCATCAAGCTTTACTGCCTGATTTATATGTATATTTGTAATTTCCCCTGTTCCTTGGGAAATAATGTGGAAGAAGTTTTAAATAAGCAAGCTTGTCTTTACTATATTTTCCATTCATTCTTGTCTTTTCAAGTTGTTATTTTGCTCAATGTCATGTATCATCTTGTAGAGATTGGCTAGTTGAAGGTTTAGTCAACATCTTTCTCCAGAATATAGCTCCTAGCATTTCTAGGTGATCATGCAAGACAACATCGATAATACATGAAAAAGACAAGAAAACAGTAGAATGGCCAACCAAAGGACAGAGATAAACACTTACAAAGGGTGTGGTGGTAAAAAAAAGAAAGGGAGAGGGAGCACAAAACCCAACCTCTTAACTGACTTAAAAGAGCAAGGAAAATAGAAAATGTGGGACAGAGAAAACTCTTTCCTCTGAGGGCACTAATGACACTGTTTACTGCTTCCTTCTCAATGTAGAGTATAGATCCCAGCATGTTTTGCCAGTAAAACCTTGAGCAGTTGGTCTAGGATTTTATGCAACTGATGATATGAAAATCAGCTTAGTCTAGTGGAAGGTGTCCCTGCTTGTGGCCGGGGGATTGGAACTAGATGATCTTTAAGGTCTCTTCCAACTCAAACAATTCTGTGATTTGTCAAAAAGCTTACTTTGGTCCTAAACATTGTAGAATTTCTCTTATCACAATCTTTGTTAACATTATAGGACTTTCAGACAATAGAAAATTTTTTTATTTTTTTTTAACGTAAGATTTGGGAGTAACTAGCTTATTAGTGTGACAGTAACTGCATCTACAGACCATATTTCTTTCTAAACTTCACTAATCTGGACTTGCAGAAGATTAATAAAAAAAGCTCTTCAGATTTCTAGCACATACTTGTGGATGTTACATTCTTTGTGTCTTGTCATATATTCAGTATAGGAGTTGAAGTCTGGATTTCCACTGGAAAAACATTTTGAGGTTTTAATTATTTTTTTTCAGTGTCCTGTACTAAAACCCAATGCACAGTTAAGAAAGAGCAAAGAATTTGAGATAAATGGTAGGGACTGAGTCAGTATGTTTTTGTCACATTAACCAAAATTTGCACAAAATAAAAATGTTGCCAGACAATTGTTACATTTACAGAAGCAGTTGCATTCCTCTCCTAAAAATTTAGAAATACTTTTTAACAATCCTTAATGAGCTGATGCTTTTACTGTATGCAGAACACACACTTCTAGCCAACCAGAACTTAAGATTTCATTTGATGTTCATGTCAAAGTTTGACTGTTACATAAAATTAAATCACTCCACAAGCTCCTTACTAATATGTCCCACGAAAGAGTTTGATACAGGTGAGAGCAATTTGTGACAGTTAAAAAATACATAGACTTACAGTGAACATATGGGGAAGAGGTCACTGATCTGTGTGTCAAGGTAATATTGGCAACATTGAAAAATCAACTTTTTTTCTTATTTGTTTTTTCTTCCTAGCTCTGGTTACTGCAGGTACTGTATTTATTATGCATGTATGGATTTCCTTCTCCCTTTCTTGCTAAATCAGAAGAGGGGAGAGAGCAAAAGCCCTCTAGTGATCAAGTTGTTTTTCCACAGTGTAAGTTTGAATTGAAGCCATCTTTACAAGCAAATGGCATTATTATACTAAGCACAAAATAATTCAGATGCAATAGTGATGATTTTTTTTAAAGTAATTTTATATATTTGCTCCAGAAATTGTTTTCCTTTTGTTCATAGTAAGTGAGCACTTCATCTTGTAGGCACAGAGTGCTAGGACCCATGGAATATCCAGGAAGAAATGCAGTTGAAAACAATACTTGATTGAATCAGATACAATACTCTGTTAAAGCCACTAATTTTTTTTGTGTTTTGGCTTTTAGTCATACATGTTTTATATGTGTATACCAAATTTTCTGTCCAGCTGGGAAGACATGACTTGATTTCTTGAACAAGATGGATTACAACACACACGTTGCTTCTAACAAATATAACCTCTTTCCTGCTCTAAACCCTGGCTTCTTATCAACAGAGTGATTTTGACTTTAGTTACTTATTTTTCTGATTATCTAGGCCCGTACCTTGAATATCTGAAATCGCAATAGCCAACATTTATCTACAGTGGGTGGCAGAGGCTTTTAAGGTGTTCATCAGAAGGCTTTTAAAGGATTCATCCATATGTAATGGACTGGCATTACGCCTTGTGACAGGATATGCATGCTGCCTCCATGCCATGACCTCACTTGCCACTCATACTCTCATCATATGGCAGACATGCATCTGCAACGCTGGCATTTAGTGTACTGGCACAGTGACCTCGTTCCTATATACTCAAAGCATGTGCTGCAGCACCCTTGGGAAACAGCTTGGCAGGAATGAGGCTCCTCAAACCCTGCTCTTTTCATCTCTCAGGAGAGATGAAAGCAGACAGTAGCCAAATTAGTAGCTTGTTCAGCTTGTTTTTTGGTCTGTGGCACACTGATAGAGAACCAGTGTGGCATCCTGCAAGGAGAGCAGGGATGGTGGGGAGTGAGATGCTCTGTTTTGCCAATGAATTTGAAGGCAAGGCCCCAAGATACTGCTTGCTGGGTGGCTTGGGTCAGATCTGGCCCTTCCTACGGAGGCAAGGAAGGAGATCCTGAATGAGCATGTTTCTGAGACTGGTATCTTGATTGCTGAAATCTCTCTGGACAAAGCAGTCTGTCATGACACTGTGGTTAGCGAGGCTTTAGTGAAAGAATTTTTTTAAACTTATTAACACTTGGACACATGAAATTAGTTTGAAGTCTGTATTAGCTTTGTATTTAACTGTATTTATGGAAATGAATTCTGTGAATCTGCCTTACCCCAAGGCGTTTCTCCTGTATTTGACACCTGATAAGGAAGTGAATGCGAGAGCATGAGCCATTTTGTACCTTTTTAGTTGTTTATGAGAAAAGGAGCAGTTTTGATTCAGGTGAGCTAGTTCAGAACTGGTTGTGTTACGTACTGTTCAAAATCACTGAATTTAATGTCTTTTTGTTAGAGTGAAGATTAATAAGGAAAGTGAAATTTCAGTTTCTGTAGTTATATATTTCTGGGTTTACACACGTTTTACACTGTAACAGCCTGGTGTTTCTTGGACTAAAGCAACAGCTTTGTAGTGAACTGTACAGTGTCTGCAGCCAGCTGCTAGACATGTTCCACAGTGATTTTGTGTCTCTGGATTTGTGTCTCATACTGCCATCTAAGGGTCACGTAGGCTGAGAAGGTGGCTGAAGGTTTCTTCAGTACTTTTCTTTCTGTATATTGCCCTTCCCTTTGGGAAGTCAGCAAATCCTGGATGAGAAGGGTGGGCAGGGAATAACAGCAGTCTTTTGATGCAATATGTTGTTTCATCTAAAAGGACAGAGGGACCTTCCAGGTAAGTGGGCAATTAGAATGTAAATACGAGTTAGAGTATTTTAGGAAGATGCAATTGCAGTGTTTTTGTAAAAGCCAGCAAGTAAGAAAGTGAGGTTACAGGATTTGAGGCTACTGTTAAAACAAGTCAAGGAATGTAGTGCTTAGAGTCCTGAAGAGTTTCAGTTGAAACTCTTAGAAGTGAGGAAGTGTGCTGTTCAGATTCTGAAAGGTAACAAAGTCCTTGACTCCTACTGATTTCAGGATTAGTGCTTTATAATAGAATTTGTTTAGTAAGATTTTCCCTAAAAAGATAGAAAATAACATGAATTATTTTCTTCTTTTTTTTTTTTAATTGTTTTTGCATTTCTGCTTGTTTTGATTTTCCTGGATTAGGGGAAAATGAGCAAAAAATTGGTGTTATTTTAAGAGTATGTGGTATTAAATGACATAAACATAATTTAAATATTCTGGAGTTTAAGCATTCACAATTTTAGCATGAAAGCTTTTCTTTCCAGGATAAAAATGCATATTTTCTTTTTAATCTGTAAACTGTAATATCTGTATTGGCTTAATGCTATAGGTGTTTTCTCACAAAGATATTTTGAATTACAAATGTGATAAAGAATTAGTGGCAGGAGCAAAACATTTCAGTATTAATGTAGTTAATGTAGTACTGTTGGCATTGACTGACAAAAACAGTTTTTATAATGAGGACCCCTTTGAGCACATTTTTATTTTACAATACAGAAGTTGTTTTTCAGGCTACTTTCCAACAAACCTTGTGTAATAGAGAAAGTAATTAATCTTGCATGTTACTTTGACAGGCTCATGCAAGCAAAGACCTGGAAGAGCAGTTGCGGTCTGTGTCCAGTGTGGATGAACTCATGACAGTACTTTATCCAGAATACTGGAAAATGTTCAAATGTCAGTTGAGGAAAGGAGGTTGGCAACACAACAGGGAACACTCCAGTTTTGACACAAGATCAGATGATTCCCTGAAATTTGCCGCAGCACACTATAATGCAGAGATCCTGAAAAGTAAGTACAGGACACAAACTGTGTTCTAACACACGATGAATTAAAATCCGAAGGCTTCTCAGTTGTGTCAGAAATATTTTAAAAGCTAAGCATTGTCAGTAAACCAACCTGAGCAGTTTCATTTGATGTCATGTTTGTAGTATAGAATTCTTGACAATCAACCTTCCATAATGTAACAAATTGCTCTGCAGACACATTTTTGGTATATCCATTGTAAGAAGGGTGAAACATACTTTGTAGGGGTTGTAATAATTTTGCAGAAAGCAAAGAGGGCACTAATAGTTGAATTCATTGAAAAGTTTCTGCTCAATTTCTGCAATTACATCACTGCTGGTAAAGCTTTCTTCTCTTACATGTGATTGCTTTAGGACACCAAATAATGCACTTGTAGGTTTTCCTGTTACAAAAGGGTAGTTGTCATGTTACGTTCAAACCAGAAAAAAACAGCTTTCAAACAGTTATGTCAATACCCCTTAGTGTTTCAGATGGCCTGGATGAAAACGTAATAGCTTATAGTTTAAGCAAGTGCTCGCAGGCAGAGAAACACAGGATTTATAGCAGGAGGTGTATTTTTTGACATGATACTGGAAATCATGTACCTTAATGGAGACTTTAAGGTATACATTAGGTGAAATTTCCATTTTTGCTGAATAGCCTACCAAGAACTGATGCCAAGAGAGAATAAAGGGATCTGTACAGCTGCAAGTCTCATGGATGCTTAATGTAAGATTGTATTTGGTAAAAGGCTGTATAACATGATGTAAAATGTTTGCCCAAATTTGCATGAATAATCTGGGCACAAATATCGCCTTTCAGATTAAATCTTATGGTGTGTATAACTGCTGTATAATAACCTTTTGCTTTAAATTGTATTCTAGTACTAATCAAAGTAGATGTATTTAAATGAATTTCATGTTAAGTGCATAGACATCAAATTTATTGTTTCTAATATATAGTATCCAAGGGAAGTACTGTGTGGGATTGGTTAAAAATTATTTTGCAGAGATGTGCAGTACTTCTTTAGACTTCAGTGAAGGTAAGACAGCCCAGGCACACAAGAAAGGGTATGTACAGCTTTAGCTGCTGGCCAGCAGGTCAAGGGAGATGATTCTCCCGCTCTACTCTGCTCTCCAAGACCCCACCTGGAGTATTGTGTTCACCTCTGGGGCCCCCAACATGGAAAGACATGGACCTGTTGGAACAAGTCCAGAGGAGGGCTGCAAAGTTGCTCAGAGGGCTGGAGAACCTCTCCTGTGAAGACAGACTAAGAGAGTTGGGCTTGTTCAGCCTGGAGAAGGCTCAGGAGAGACCTTATTGTGGCCTTTCAGTACATAAAGGGGGATTATAAGAAAGATGGTGACAGACTTTTTAGTAGAACCTATCACAGTTGGTCAAGGAATAATTGTTTAAACTAAAAGAGGGTAGATTTACATGAGATACAAGGAAGAAATATTTTACAATGACGATGGTGAGACAGTGGCACAGGTTGCCCAGAGAAGTTGTGGATGCCTATCCCTGGAAATATTCAAGGTCAGGCTCGATGGAGCTCTGAGCAACCTGGTCTAGTTGAAGATGTGCCTGCTCACTGTGGGAGGGTTGGACTAGATGACCTTTAAAGGTCCCTTCCAATTCAAACCTTTCTATGATTCTATGTCGTAAACTCTGCCCAACTTTGTTATGTTGCCTCTTCTGTCACTTTCCTTCTGCTCCATGACAATATGTCACATCCCTATGGAGAAGAAAAATTAGCTAGAAGTTAAGAGTCTATTTCACTGAATAAAAGGTCTGACACTAGCAGTGCATATTCTGGTTCTAAACTTTAAAAAAGTCCTACTAATTTACTGCAGGAGCATATTGTTTTTAAACAGTTACTTTATAACACTTGACATTCCCTATAACTTGGCAGGTATTGATACTGAATGGAGAAAAACTCAATGCATGCCACGTGAAGTGTGTGTGGATGTGGGAAAAGAGTTTGGAGCAACTACAAACACCTTCTTTAAACCCCCATGTGTATCCATCTACAGATGTGGAGGTTGCTGCAATAGTGAAGGACTCCAGTGTATGAATATCAGCACAAGTTACATCAGCAAGACAGTAAGTTCTCACTTTTATTACAGTTCAAGTGCACCTTGCAAATCCATTTGTAATCACGTATTTTTTAAACCTTCTTATTGCTACTGTAAGGAAGGAAAAAAGTCAGTTCCAGAGTACATAGAAAAGAAAGCTGAAGAGACTACTGCCTGGAAGAAAGTGTTTAACACTCATTCCCCCTGAATATATATCTATTTATTATTTTCTAGGGGGGGGGGAAATATGATGTTCCCCTGTTTTGTTGTTGGTTTTTTTCCCCTCTACCATTTGCCTGCCTTATGAGGCAAGCACTCTGAAAAACTAGCCTGTAATTTTATCAGTGAAGACGAAGACTGTTTCAGGACATGTGCAGACAGGAGACGTTGCAAATAAAGCCTTTTAGGAACTGAATTTTACTGTATTAAGAAATATTAGTGTAATGTACCTATTTATTTGTTTTGTTCTAATGCATCTCCTTCAGGTGTATGTGTGGGTTTTAGTCTTCAAGTTCAGGCCTAGTGATGAGGTAGCAGTGTGCAAAGGTTGTACACTGAGCCTGTGAGCTGCCTTTAAAAGAAAAGCATACATGCTATGACATGTATGTAGTATATAAGTAGCTATGACAATTATTGCAGTTATTTTGCAACAGTTTTTCTCTCAAAAATAATTAAAAAATAGCTGTACTTCAAAATGTTTTCTGGAGTATTTTGCTTTTGTTACAATACTTAGTAGTACTTGGTAGTTTTTTGTTGATTGTGGCTTTTTATCTCATCTTTCTGATACTTTGAAGAAAACTAATTTTAGTGTAAATCTTGCTTCCTTTTTCAACTAGCTGAAGATGCAGTACATATTTATAAGGAAGATATACAACTGCATAGCCAACTATAAGATTGTAGTCCATGGAAATGTCATTCCTTTATCATTAAACTTCTTAGTGCTCTTGAGCCTTCTTGAGAGGGAATTAGAAAAAGGGGATATACAGAAAACATTTAGTATTGTTTCTGCCCTAGTAGTAAATGTTTAGCACGGGGTTTCTTTTTTAAGATCTTGATGTCATTGGTGATGATATAAGAGTAGTTAAAGATCTGAGAGACTCTGAAAAGGAAAATATTAAAGGACTTATCAGAAAGAAGAAAGAGGCAATAGCATTGTTTTGTTTTCTTACTTATTCTGTAAAAGCAAGTTTAATCTCCGAGTTTTCTATCTTGCTTCTGCTTTCCAGTTTTATCTGGTCCTTGACAGAATGCAGTTTTAAAAAAACCCTTAATAAAGGAAGAGAGCTATAGCTATATCTCTTCATCTGTCATCATCTCAAATATTTTTAAAGTTATGATGTGACCACAGCTTACCCCTATATCAGATGAGAATTAGGAAGAAAAAAGTATTGGATTCAAGACCCTTCTGTGGAATTCAGGTACCCTACACACCTATTTTCACTACTGTTTTCCTTTTATTTCCTGAATTAAATGAGAACATATGGTTAGTAACCAGCCATCTTCTGGTTTTTCATAAGTCACCATTTTTGAAGCTTTATTTTTGGTGCATAAACTCCCTAAGATAACTTCATACTGTTCAACCAGCAGAAAAAGTGCTTAATGGGAAACTGACTTTTCAGCTGGAGGTCTTACTATGAGGGCAAGCTCTAGAATTGGTTCCAGACATTAAAATCTAAAGGAAGTTGATATCAGCTTTCAGAAAAATCAATTGAAAAGAGCTAAATATAGAAATTATTTTTATGGGGAGCAAATCATTGATTGCCAGGAGAATGGATTAGGCCAGATGTTTCCAGATTGGCTTGTGGAACACTGTGGTGGTCCAGAGAGAGCTTACTAGTTCTCTAGTTCAGGCTGTGTTCCTCCTTTCTAGCTTTATTAAGAGAAAAATAGAACAGTATTCTGCTTTGCTTTTAATACCATTTTTCCCACAAAAACTGTTTCTGTAGTTGCAAAGGGCTGTTTACACAATTACGATTTGGACATGAGAAAATTTCTTTAACAGTTAGAGATGTAGTACAAGGACTATAAAGACATTTGATCCCCTAGGCTAATTCATAAAATGCCGTAGAACTTTTTCTTTTCCTTTATCTGCGACACTGCCCAACTTCGTAAGTGGTGACTTTTCTAATAAAGGTCTGAGGGGAAAATGGTTGTTTGGATTTTGGTTTTGTGGTGTGGTTGTGTTGGTTTTTCCTTTTAATTTATTATTAATCAAACAGCTGTTCTCCATTTCCATGACATGAAGCAATTCAACAGCAGTTACAAAGATGAACTACACAGGTGAAGCAACGTATGTCCAGTTGCACTTTTTTATGCCACACATATAGGTACTTGCTTATACATTGAAGCAGTAAGCAGATGGCAGAGAGCCGTCTCATTCCATTCTTCCACTTGTCTGGCAGGCTGGACAGTTTTTTGACTTCTTTCAGATCATTTGATGTAAAGGTCCTAAATCTTCCTTTTTCATTTTTACAGTAATAGTCCCTGAAGGGAAAGCATATTTCCAAGTAATTTGAAACTAGGTTTACAAGAGATTTTCTCACAGGAAACAACAGCTTGAAATGGTTTGCCATATTTGATATATACATGGAGTTCCTTTATGTGATTTGGAGATGCATATGTTGCAAGAATTTTCAGTTGTTTTGAACTTTACCATTTATGCCGTGCATTTTTCTATGTTAGACTTATGATCATAATGATATAGTAGGTACTATTAATAGTGGAAGATACATCAGTATGATTTCCAAATGCTTTTTGTTAAAAGATTTGGGGAAAAAATATTTTAAAAAATGATTCAAATGTAAAGAGGCAGAATGAGTATGCTAATTAAGTGTATTAATCAGATACGAAATGTATTAGATAGGTTACGTGTTGTATCACACGTATGCCTTGAAATACTGTTTTTTCAAGAAAGTTAGATAGTAAAATAAATAATGATGGTGTACCATTTTTCAAATAGCTCATTTTCATTCTTTCCAATATAGAAATGTATAGAGGAATTTTGTTTAGGAAGTGCAAAGATCATAAGTGATGGAAACTAGGAGTCAATCAATTTAAGGGAAACTTGCCAAAATAAACCACAGTCCATCAGAAGAATATAGTGTAGTTAATGTAAGTCTGGGAAAAAATAATACATAAATCCTGTGTTTGAAAAGTATCTGGAATTACAAGCTTTCCTCATCCTGGTATGGAAATAACAGTTTTGATTGTTTTATATTTCAGAAGTCAGAGATCATAATAATTTTACGTGTGCTGATGCAATGGATATTGTCATGTATGATAACAGTGTTCAATAAATTAATTTAGCCACTGAAGCAAATAAATACTTTGTATAGAAATCAACAGGGTTTTTTTAGAAAGCTTGGCATGAAGTCCTAGTCTAAAGAAGGAGCTATCAGTGCAGTGAATCAAAAATATGTGCCTTTATATAAGGATCAGTGTGGAGAGGTCTAAGGGAAATTTTTTTAAAAGGCATTCTGACAGTACTTTTGGTCAAGCTGTTAGCTATTTTGGGGGTTTGGGTGCTTGGGTTTTTTTAAGCTTAAAATCGTGCTTAGCTATAGGCTATGGACCAGACTGTGGTCCCACCCTTGTTGCTGTTCTCCGCTCCAACTCTGTAACTGGCTAGAGGAAGAGTGCTGCCAGTGTGAGAATGGAAAAGAGCCCACTACAGGGATGGTTTGTGGGACCACACAGCTCTGGCCTGGATGCTTTTGCAAGGATGGCTAAAGACAGATAAAAATGGGGACTGTTAAAAGGAAGCTCAGTTATTAACAGAAAGAACATCATGTTTCCTCTACTAGAGGTGTATCAATATAATGACCAATATCAGAATGGAGATTCAAGCTGGATGTGAGGAAGAAATTTTTCACTGTAAGCAAACTGCAGCAAAATTGGTGGTTCTGCATTTTCTTAGAACAGAGTGAGAAAGAGGTGTATATGGCTTTATCGTTAAAAACAAAAATTGTATAAAAGCAGAAAATGTTCTCTTATTGTAGGTAAAGGATATACTACTTGTTTGTTTGTATGAGGAATGTGTGTTTTGTTGTCTTTCAGACTATACTTTTAAGTGTTAAAAAAGACTTAGGAGGCAGATAGAATTGTTGAGAGACTTGGGTTTATTTGTTACTAGAAGACTTTTTGTAACTTGGAGCTGAACAAAAATCTGATGCAGTTTCAGATCTAGGCACCTAAATCCCCTCTGCTAGGGAGAGCCTGTCACTGATCCACCCTCCTTTACCTTTTTGGGAAGTAAAGAGCCTGGTTCATCCAAAAATAGCTGGGACAAGATGTGTGTGTGAAAGAATGCTAAGAATTGTGCTAAGGAACCCAAAAAGAGGAAAGGGAAATAAAGTTTCGTGTGCTGGCTGAAAGGGAAAAATTGTGTTTGGCTGAAATAAGGGGAGGTTGGGTGGAGAATCACGATATTGGGTAAAGACCTAAGGAGACAAGGGCTGAACACAGTACACTGAAGAGAAATATTAGAAATGGTGGGAAAGACTGTAAGACCTGCCATCAGGCTTTCTGTGACAAAACAGCCTTAGACTAGCTGAATGGTATGTGTGAAGTTCTTCTAAAATACATTAACTGTGTATGGCTTTCAACTGTTCTTCAGTTACATAGAGCTTCCATTAGTATGTGTTACACTTTGATATTAACAGCATGTTACTGACTTATGATACTAGCTTCTGTGGAAAAGATTAGGATGGAGCTTTGACTGTGACTTTGTGGTTTTCGTTTTTGGGTTATGGTGAGGTTTATTTGGTTATATATGATACTCTTTAGATATTCTCTCACGTGTTTCTTCAGCACTTATTTCCACTGGATTCATGGTAATACAGTGTTGGTAGCACACATGTACAGGACTGCATGGGCAAGTTGAGTCTAGTTTTTTTCTTCTAGCATTTGAGTGTTTGCTTCTAACTCTGGCAACACTCACTAAATGTGCTTAAATTTCCCACTTAATGTACTATAATTACTAACATTTTTATGAAAACTGCAAGCAATGAAAGCTCTCCCCTTTGAAAA